CACACATTTTTTACCTATGTCAACCTTTTGCGGGTTCACCAGGATCCCACCCACACTGGTGCTGGTCTTTTTCTTTCTGTCTTGTTCCAGGGGGCGGGGAGGGAGCCGTGCGCAGGGGCAGAGGGGAGCCAGGCTGCCCCAGCCCCACCGAGCATCCCCCGGGCTTGCCTGCTTTTTAGTGCAGGGAAGGCTGGCGGCAGCACTGGGCAGGTTATGATGCCAGAAAGCACGCTGATGTGTCACGTATATTGAATACATCAAACATTACTGTCTCACCATGCCTCACACGAACCATTTATTTCTTTAGAAACTGCAGACTGGTCTAGTTTTATATTTCACAAGTCACCCGTAAAATATATATCTATAAAAGTTATTACAGGAGCAAGGATTCCTGCAGGGACATGGCAGCCTGCCCTCATTGTGCTCCGCAAGCTCCCCATCCGTGCTGGGATTTCCATTTGTTCCCGGCACTGCCGCTTTCCGGCTTTGCAGCGTGTATTTTTGGTTGGGGGTGTGGTGATGTGGGTACATCGCTCACCCCCTCAGTTTCCAATCCTACCAGAACCCCAAATACCACCCCAAGCCGCGGCTGCCGCTCTGCAGCCCCGCTGACCTGCCGGTCTCCAGGCGCTGCTCGGGAGCTGCACGCGGGTGTCGCGGTGCTGAAGAAGTGGGAATGAGCTCCGCTTTCTGCTACACATATTTTTATTTGATTAGCCTAATATACTGCGTTGTTATTTACCACATGCAAATCTCTTCAAACTGATTAAAGCTGACATTTCAGCTAAGAGATGAGATCTGGAAAGAAGTAATAAGGAAAAATTATTTCACAAGCTTTTGCACTTTAGATTTGCAGGGAGGATCGATTACATTTAAAATTTAAGGCCCAGACTTGACCCTAAATCTCCTTTAAGGCAAAGGAAAGAATTAATTCCTTAATTTGTTATATTTCAGCTTTACAGGCTGGCTCAGCAAAACCCAAGGGAGTTTGCACAAGATGCCATTGGCTTTGAATGGTGCTTTTGGATACGACTGGAAGGCAGCAGTGAATGCTAGTTTGAAAAATATCATGTTAACACATTTATTACCTTTAAGACCTTAAGAATTATGGCTATCTATATGGCTATAGAATGACTGTGGAAGTAGTTGTTTCTGGGTCACCAAAGGAAACTTGCTAGCTACCTTCCTTGCAGCACACAGATTTTTATTTACTGATTTCTACTGGTGTGCCGAGTAGCACTAGGTGCTATACATTTATAAAGCACGATCCCCATTTCAAATAAAAGATGACAAAAATGGTCAGTTAGCCTCCGGAAAGTATATTTTGCAGAGAGAGAAGGGGGGGAAGAAAGAGAGAGAGGAAGGGAGGGAGTTTTGCAATGACAAGTTCATTCCTACAGCAGCTATATGGACATTGATTTTTCTTGTCAAACAGGTGTAGAAAGGTTAAAGACCAACCAAGGGTCTGATTTTCAGAGGTCCAGGTATTTTATTGGGTCGAATACCTTACAGCCTCCTTCACACGAACCTGCAAATGAGAACCTTTCCATAAAACCTTGCTTACGCTTGCAAAAATGAGGCGTTCAGCTCTCCACAAGTAATAGTATTGAAAGCTTTTTTTAGACAGGGGTCAGACCCATTTTATTGTAAGTGCAGATCCATTCAAAGTGCAAAAGGATTGAGCTAAAGGACATCTCAGTATTACAGGGTTGTTACTCCGGCTCCAGCCTAAATGACTTGACCGAGGCTAAAGTATGACTCGGTGCCAGAAAGCAGGGCTGGAAGTCGCAGTTCCGAGCCTTGCGTTCGGAGCAAAAGATCGCATTCACAAAATGAGTAAAAAATGCGGAGGGAATGCCTACCTGGGTTTGACTTCTTCACTCATCTCAGACTGAAATGAGATTGACTCCGGGGCCTAATGCTGAAGCCATTCAGCCAGACAAGGTCTATCCATGACGGGCGTTTAAAATCTTTACTGGAAAAAATTCCCCCCCAAAATGGGAAGAAGAAAATACTTCTGTTATAAAACGATTGAGACGACTCAGCCGTTACTTTTTTGCCCTCAAGCCTAGAAAGCATTTCTTGCATTCGTGTCTCAGCACACTACCTCAGCGGCCCTTCATGTGCAGCACCACAGTAATTTATCATTACCCAGTCTCCAAATTATTCTAGTGTTGATTAAATTAGTAGATGCAATCACAATCTGAAGCAAGTTAATTGAGAGAATTTATTTGGCCCTGACAGTTTTATGCATGTTTGATTAAGTATTATAAGGTTTGTTTTTGATTTTGCATAATTTAACTTTAAATCCTGCGCTGGGGGGGGGCCATCAACTATTAATGACCGAAATAAACTCTTTTAAGATGCATATATTTATGATTTATTTCTAAACGCAATATCTTCCAGATTTTTTTTGTTCTGTTGCCAAAGTGACAAATATGTTTAAAGTAATATTTTGAGCCATTCGGTTCATGCTATAAATCTTGTGAAATGTATACAATTCATTAAAAGTTTTGAAAGAAGTACAAGTTAGCATTTATATTGCAACAAGTGACATATAAATGTGTATGTTTGTCTTCGAAGCGTGCCATAAAATATATCAGCACTAGCTGGCCGCTGTGACTGGTACTAATGGCCCGCTCTCCGGGCTGATGATAAGTTTCATCACAAATCTTCAACGCTGTCAACACAAAACTGTTCAATCAACAGGGATATGAGTTGTGTCTTTAGTAAAATTAGCACAGGAAAGAAATACAACCCAGAGCGCTGCCGGGGTGTTGTGGGCGGGTTCCCTTCGGGCTGAACTGCGAGCGCTCCTTCAGGATCTTACCTCTCTGAATGTCAAAGCTTCAATTCATGCCTGACCCGAGGATAGTTTATTTTTTATGAAGCTGCACATTCATTTAAGCAGCAAAGGGGTCAAAATATTTCAGGCGGAAAACTGAAGAGCGCCATCTCGCTTTTTTCTCATCCTGACCTAAGAAATTGAAAGGGTCCGTCTGGGCACCGATGCTGCTGCGTTGCACCCTTGCACGCACGCGTTGAGGTTGTGGCGTCGCTCAGCGGAGCTGCCTGGGTTTTCTGCAGGCTCAGGAAGCCCTTTCCCACTCCAAGGGGTTCCCTGCAGGAGGCCAGGAGCCCCCCTTTGCAGCACTTGCATTCAGCAGCATCCCCGTCATTCTACAAGGCAAAGCTGGGAAACCAAAGTACCTTCAACATTTTGTTGCTTGGGCTGAAATTCCCCTCTCTGGGCTGTGGCTCCAGTCCCAGGCAATGGCGGAGGGGAATAAATGGAACGTGGCTCTCCCGCTTATCTTAGTCGCCAAACAGATGTTCCCAGTTTCATGCTATTGGGAAAATGTATCAGCTTCGTGCCTCCCCTTCTCTCTCCCACCAGAAGGTATGTGGGAGACACAGACAGGGCAATTTGCTAGGTGTGCCTCCCCTTCTCTCTCCCACCAGAAGGAGATATGTGGGAGACACAGACAGGGCAATTTGCTAGGAGCACACCGCCGCTAATGACCTTGCCTATAATTCCCCCCTGATGTACGTCCTGCACCTCAGGCCCCTCACTGTATTTGCAGAATAAAACTGCTCTGGGGGGCAGGCGCTGCTGCAGGTGAACAGGGAGGAACCAGAGCGTGCACAGCGAGGCTGCTGGGGCGCTGGGAGGCATTTGGCCTGGTGCCTCAACTGCCTGTGCAGGTCTTAGTATCGGCAGATGGCTTGAGTTATTATTATTTAATGTTTTTCCACCGTGGTGGTGCCTAGACGGCAAGCAGGGCAGGGAGCCAATGACAAAGCTCTGTGTTCTTTCCATTACGGAAAGTAATTCCTTATTAAATCTAAGGGAAAACAGCAGGGAGGAAGTTTGTTTCCCTTATTTTTATATATTGCTTTTGAATTCTCCTCCACCTGTTTCATTATTTTTGAAACTTTTTGGCTCTTTCTGGCCTCTCCAGAAGTCTGGGGCTCCTAAGTTTGCTTTTCTAAAAGCGCTTGAGCTCCTTCAGCGGGGTGAGGCCCCGGGAGCAGCACAGTTCCTCATGGGAGCACCGGCAGGAGCGTGCGGGCTCTCCCGGGACGTGGCCTCCCAATGCCCCACTGCCCCAGCCGCTCAGCAAGCCTGGATCTGGCCCCCCAGCCCCCGGGCGGCATCCACCCGG